CACAAATCAAGTTTTTTAATTTTTTTTTTTATGAAATAATGAATTATTAAATCAATTTATTATTAAATATTCAATTTTAATATAATATAATTACACCACCCTACCTCCACCACCCCTACTGATCCGGGACTATTCCGGCTACCGTTCCGGTCACAACTTATCTCTGGCGACCGTTCCGACAACTGCTCCGATTCCGACGACTATTCTGATGAGTGTTCCGCCGCCACTTCGTTCCCGCAACTGTTCCGATTCCGACAAGTATTCCAACTCCGACGAAAATTTTTAGGTCACAATTCAAAATTTTCATATGTCACAATTTGTTTATCGATCACAACTTCAAATTTTAAAAGTCACAATTTATTCATCGGTCACAGATCACAAAATTTATAAATCATAATACTTATTTATGGTCACAAACATCACATTAATTGAACTTAAATTATATTCAGGTCACAATTTATCAAATTATTGGTCACAAATTAATAATTTTTAGGTCACAGATCATGTATTGGTCACAGATTATCTAATTCATTGATCATATATTGTGTGTTGGTCACAAACCAACCAAATTATTGGTCACAAACAACCAAATCATTTAGGACCACCACTTTGCCAGTGCCTCCACCAGGGCAGCCCCACCGTCGCACCGCCGCCTTACGCACTGACACCCAATCACACTATCACTACCGTCGTTAGCCACCACAACCAATCGACGAACTGCAGTGAATGGTGGCGTCCGACACACCGTTACGCACCCGCAACCGCACTCCACACCTCCACCAAAACACATATCGCATCTCCACCACCATCGCGCCCACCATACCGTTCAACAGAAACCACCACAAATTTGCAACCATCAACAAAAATCAGACATACAACCACCACACCCTCGCACACACACCCAACAACACCGTTCCACAGAAACCACCACAGATCTGCAACCATCGGCAAAAATCAAACATACAACCACCACACCCACGCACGCACGCCCAACAACACCGTTCCGTTGAAACCACCACAGATCTACAAATATCGACAAAAATTAGACAAACATCACGATAAAAATGAAGGTTGAGGCAATACATGAAAGTGTATTGATTTAGGGTGAGAGTGAAGAGGATTTTAGGGTTTAGTTGGGTTCAAATGAAGGTGGAAGCAGCATCACTTATTTCTCCCGACGATGGGAAGAACCGTGGTGCTGGTGAATCGACGCCGTTGGTGGCGTTGTTTTGCAGTGGAGATGCTGGGGGAGTAAGTGGCTGCGTTGTTTTGTAAAGGAGGAAGTAGCGGCGAAATCGGCGGTGGCCGAGGGGTGGAGAGAGAGAGAGCGAGAAGACGGGAGAGAGGATGAGGGGAAGAAGCGACGGTTGGTTCAAATGATTTTAGGGTTTAGGTTCAAATGATTTTATTGTATATAGATATAAAAATTAAATTAAAAAAATGTTTTAAAATTATTAATTAAAACCTGATTTTTGAAAAGTTAAACTTGTGAGCTGATTTGTGAAATTGGAAATCTAATTCTTGGTCTAGGTGTAGTTTCCTCTATCTGTTAAGGGATATAATCCCACATCGAATAAAGATGTAAATATAGACCAACTTATAAAGGATTGGGTTACTCCTCCTAATAAGGTTGACCTTTTAAGATGGAACTCTAATTCTTAACATGGTATTAGAGCCCATTAAGCTCTAACGAGCAATTCGATCCGATTATGACTCCAAAAAGTGAGCATACGGATTTCAAAATTGATCTGCTCAAACGAGCCACCATCTTGTGGGGGCATGTTAAGGGATAGAATCTCATATCAAATAAAGATGAAAATATAGACTAATTTATAAGAGTTTGGGCTACTCCTCTTAACAAGGTTGACGTTATAAGATGGAACCCTAATTCTTAATATGGTATCAGAGCCCATTAAATTCTAACGAGCAATTCGATCCGGTTAAGGTTCCAAAAGTGAGCATACGGATTTCAAGATTGATCTGCTCAAACGAGCCACCATCTTGCGGGACATATTAAGGGACAGAATCCCACATCGAATAAAGATGTAAATATAAACCAATTTATAAAGGATTGGGTTACTCCTCTTAATAAGGTTAACCTTTTAAGATGGAACCCCAATTCTTGACATGATATCAGAGCTCATTAAGTTCTAACGAGCAATTCGATCCGATTAAGACTCCAAAAGTGAGCATACGGATTTCAAGATTGGTATGCGTAAACGAGTCACCATCTTGCGGGGGCATGTTAAGGGATATAATCCCACATCGAATAAAGATGTAAACTCCTCTTAATAAGGTTGATCTTTTAAGATGGAACCCCAGTTCTTAAAAATATCAATGTAAATTTTCCCAAAATTCAGGCAGAATATCTGAGTAGCAAAGCATTGAAAAGAAATCATATATTCACAAAACAAGAATTCAATAAGTTTTCTTATTCTGACATCATACATGCCAATATCAAAACACCTAGAACAATCACAATATTCTGTCCAGTAATTTTTTGGCCTTAAATATATGGAAATTCCCATAAAATAGCAGGCAACAGAAATGCATAATGCTTGCCTCTAATCCTTTGCATGATTTTTTGTTTTAGTTAAGGTGTCAATGTCACTCTGTCTCCTCTCACGCTTTCATCCCCGCCCGTCGGCCGCCATTACAGAAACACCTAAAAAAATAGATATTTACGTGGGCAACTGATTGGGGACAGCATTCAAAAAAGTACAAATAACTTTTATTTATTTCAAGTTAATAATGATTTAATTAGGCTTCGTTTGCGTTTTCATAAAGTCGACCATTTCTTTTAAATTATAAAAAAATTACTGAAGTGACAATTAAGGTAAGATGCAATTAATTATTTAAATTAGTGGCAAACCGTCTTGGAGCCTTTTTGGCATGCCGTTTGCTTAGCATTTGTTTTTTTAAGGAAAATGATTTTTTGAAATAGTGAGTTTTTCGAGAACGTGATTAGAATGTACGGAAAGTTTTGAATTTACCTGCAAAATATTTTATTGTGTGGTTGAAAACAAGTTTGAGAAAAAAATATTTTATTTTAACAAAAAGGGAGAGTTACAGAGGCTTTATGTTTCTCATGGAACAACTTTATGAGGAAGCTAACTTAAGTCACTTTTTGAAAAATTATTTTAATCACATAGAACATTATCAAAAAAATATTAAAATGTGTTTAAAATTAGTTTCTTAGTTTCAAAAACAACTTTAACAAACGAGATCTTATTGATCATATTTAGAAAGAAAAAGAGAGATTGTTAAAGAAACTTGATTATGAGAATTGCATTTAGTAAAGCAGTAAATTATTAGTATTTCATGTATAAAATGGTCAAGTCATTTTTCAGTATTTAATAGACGGATTTATTTCAAGCGAATTAAGTTGTGTACATTGTTGCATACATTGTTGTTGACATTTTCCCTTATATGTCAAAATCTGACTAGTGATGAGAAATTGTATTGTAAAAATCAATGGTTATAATTGATGACGTGTGTTAGGACGTCAAATTTAATGTAAACAAGAATTTACATGTAGCATGATTGATTTCAAGCACTTAAATTTTCAAGAGTAATGCTAGATGTACACTGTTGTATACATCTAATTTGACACTCCCCACACATGGGGGTGGGTCCGCAATTTAAAAAAAAAATTCATTTTAGTCATTA